TTTTCTATTTCTTCCTGTTTCAGTTTTGGTCATTTATATGTTTCTAGGAATTTATCCATTTCTTCCAGGTTGTCCAATTTATTGACATAATTTTTCATAATCTCTTATAATTGGTTTTCTGTGGTGGCGGTTGTTCTTTCTCCTCTTTCACTTGTGATCTTATTTATTTGGGTCCTTTCTCTTTTTTTGGTAAGTCTGGCTAGGGGTTTATCAATTTTATTAATGTTTTCAAAGAAACAGCTCCTGGTTTCATTCATCTGTTCTTTTTGTTTGTTTCAGTATCATTTATTTCTGTTCTAATTTTTATTATTTCCCTTCTTCTGAGGACTGTAGGCTTTCTTTGTTGTTCTTTTTCTAGCTCCTTTAGGTGTAAGATTAGGTTGTGTATTTGAGATTTTTCTTGCTTCTTGAGGTAGGCCTGTATTGCTGTGTATTTCCCTCTTCTGATGGCTTTTGCTGCATCCGAAAGGTTTTGGACCGTTGTGTTTTCATTTTCATTTGTTTCCTTGTATTTTTTAATTTCTTCTTTAATTCCTGGTTGACCAGTTTATGGTGTTTAACCTCCATGTATTTGTGGTCTTCCCCAATTTTTTCTTGTGCTTGACTTCAAGTTTCATAGTGTTGTGGTCAGAAAAGATGCATTGTATGATCTCAATCTTTTTGTACTTATTGAGGCCTGATTTGTGACCTAATATGTGATCTATTCTGCAGAATGTCTCATGTGTACTTGAAAAGAATGTGTGTTCTGCTTTGGGATAAAATGTTTTGAATTTATCTGTTAAGTCCATTTGGTCCAGTTTGTCATTCAAAGCCATTGTTTCCTTGTTGATTTTCTGTTTAGATGATCTGTCCGTTGATGTAAGTTGGGTATTAAAGTCCCCTACTCTTTGCTGTCTTTTTATCCATGAGTTCCTTTATGTTGGTTATTAATTGTTGTATATATTTGGCTACTCCCAAGTTGGGGGCAGATACATTTATGATTATTAGATCTTTTTGTATGAATTGTCCCCTTTATTATGATACCGTGTCCTTCTTCATCTCTTGTTATAGTTTTTGGTTTAAAGTCTAGTTTTTCTGGTGTAAGTATTGCTAGTCTGGGTTGCTTTTGACATCCTTTGCATGGTAAGTGTTTCTCCATTCCCTCATTTTTCAATCTGCAGGTGTGTTTAGGTCTAAAATGAGTCTCTTGTAGGCAGCATACAGATGGGTCTTGTTTCTTTTATCCATTCTGATACCCTGTGTCTTTTGAATGGAGCATTTAGTCCATTTACATTCAAAGTGATTATTGATAGATGAGAATTTAGTGCCATTTTATTACTTGTTTTGTCATTGTTTCTGGAGATTTTCTCTGTCCCTTTCTAGTCTTTGTCACTTTTGGTCTTTCTTTCCCACCCAGAGAGTCACCTTGAATATTTCCTGCAAGACTGGTTTAATGGTCATGAATTCTTTTAGTTTTTGTCTGGGAAATTTTCTCTTTCTATTCTGAATGATAGCCTTGCTAGATGGAGTATTCCTGGCTGCAGATATTTCCCATTCAGCACTTTGAATGTATCATGCAGCACTCTCTCTCTTCTCTCCCTTTTGCAGCACTCTGCTGCTCTATCCCTCAGGTCAGTCATCTGCAGAGGTCCGCCTTGCCTGCAGTGGGCAGTGTTTGGATCTTGGCCAGAATGTGACGAGTATTAACTAGGTGTGCTTTGGTCCGCTTGTTACATGAGACCTGATGCTACTTCCATTAGAACTGAAGCCTTGCAGAACTCTGTGGTCGAGGGGCACCTGGGTGACTCAGTCACTTGAGTGGTGGCCTTCGGCTCAGGTCTTGATCTCAGGGTCCTGGGATCAAGCTCCACGTCAGGCTCCCTGCTCATTAGGGAGCCTACTTCTTCCCTCTTCCTCTGCCCCTCCCCCCCCCTCGTGCTCACTCTCGCGCTCTCTCTCTCATCTTAAAAAAAAAAAAAAAAAGAACTCTATGGTAGACGTGGTGCATGCAGGGCTTTCTGCTGGTCTTCTGGGGAAGGGGCTGCTGTGCTTTCCCTTATGCACACTTGCTGGAGTCAAGCATTAGCAGCAGAAGTGCACGGGGGCTGGGGAGGAGAGACTTGGTGAAAGCAGGTAAGCAGGTTAGGCAGCCAGGCAGCCAGTGTTGGCGCTGTGCTGTTTATTGAAGTTGGTTTGTGCTGAGAGGCGGTGGCGGGAAATGGCGCCACCCAGTCCTTTTTCCGTTGGAGAGGGAGTCTGTGCTTGCTGCTCTCAGGGAAGCACTCCCAGCAAAGTGAATAATTTCCCCTCGTGTGTCCCATGTATTATTCAGATCACTGTTTTCATACTGTCTCCAGGTTGCTTGCCTTCCTGGAGCAGTTCATTGCACTTTGGGTTGTATCCCAGCCAAGGCTGCTGACTTTCAGAACTCCAAACTTTAGGGACTAGGTGTGCTGGGGACCTGCGATGGTCTTCTGGGGTTGGGTCTCACTCCACTGGAACTAATGCAGGTTTGATCAAGAAGGGCAGTCACGCAAGAGTGCAGAGGTAAAGCAGGCTAAACAGCCAGTGTCTGATTTATCCACCCTCAGCCCATGTCTCTGTGCCTATGCTGAGGGACGTGGTGGGGGGGGTGGGATGGTGGCCTTGGCTCTTTTGTCCCTTTTGTCCCCGGAGAGGCAAAGTCACCTCTCGCAGATAACGCTCCAGGAAGAGTGAACAGTCTGTCCCCATGTGCCATGGGCAGTCCTCAGATGGTGCCATCTGCCCCGGGTTGCTTGCCGGCCTTCTCTCCAGGAGTAGGGAGGGCAGTGTCCCCAGGTCTCTATCCCAGCCAAGCCTGTGGACCTGTAAAACTCAAGGCTTTAAGCCCCGCTGGTTATAAAAACTCATGAAAATCAGCCTATCTGGTTTTCCCAGTCAGTGGCTTTGGAGAAGTGTTCTTGTGTGTATCCCTGTGCATACCACTCTCTCTTGCCTTTCTCCGAGACCAGGGCTCCCTCCCCGCCACAGCACCCACAGTCCCTTTCTCCTCCAAAGCACCTCTCGGCACTTCCCAACTTCCTCGATGTGGTCTCTTCTATCCCTCTAGTTGTACAGTTTGTTCTGACAGTTCTCAGGTTGATTTCTTGGGTATTTAGAATGATTTGGTAGTTATCTAGCTGTGTTTGAGGGATGAGGCAAGCCTAGTGTCCTCCTACTGTGCCGCCATCTTAGCTCTTTTTATTTTTTCCTAGTTTTCATATTTAAAAAATATTGCCAATTTGGTGAAGAATGGCATCCCAGTGTTTATTAAATTTGTATTTTTAAAAACTTGGAGTGAGTTTAAAGTTTTTCTCATTTTTAAGTATCATTTTTTTTTAAAGATTTTATTTATTTATTTGACAGAGACACAGCGAAGAGAGGGAACACAAGCAGGGGGAGTGGGAGAGGGAGGAGCAGGCTTCCCGCCGAGCAGGGAGCCCGCTGCGGGGCTGGATCCCAGGACCCTGGGATCATGACCTGAGCCGAAGGCAGACGCTTAACGACTGAGCCACCCAGGCGCCCCTTAAGTATCATTTTTATAGGCTTTTCTTTTGCAAGTAGTTAATTCCCTTTTTTCCTATATCTGTTAGAGTTTTGATAATTTTTCTGCAATTTTAAAGAATTCTTTATGTTTAATGGAATGTAGCCCTATGTGGAGATAAATTACAAATATTTTTCTTGAGTTTGTTAATTATCTTTCTTCCTTTTTTTTCAACTTAGATGATGTAGGAAAGACATTAGGGTTCGAAGCCGACAGCCAAGAAAGAATTCTTAAGATGTCTTTGGTGCAAAAAGGTGATTTTATTAAAGCATGGGGACAGGACCCGTGAGCAGAAAGAGCTGTAATGGGGTCATGAGGAGTGGCCCATTATATACTTTCAAGTTGGGAGGGGGTTAGGGATAGTGTTAAGTCTCTAAGGAATTTGGAAGCAAGGTTTCCGGGACCTTGAGGGGGCTAGCTATTGTTGGGAAAAGGTCATTTATTACCGTCTAATAAAACCTTAGTCATGAGACCCTTCAGATGTATCTCGGTGGGCCATATGCTTGGGGGATGATAGCCAACACGTAACTTGGGGGTCTAGAGATAAAGGAAGTTTCCAAAGGAATTTTTATACGTTAAAGTAGACTTACAGGATGGGGGTGGTGGTCAGACTAGGATTGCCTTTTGCCCTTAGCAAAGTATTAACATCGAGGCAGTTGAGTCCCTAGAGGAATGTCACTCTGCCTGTTTCAGGGACTTGTCAGTGGGCTGTAGGTAGTAAGGAAATTTAATAAATTTTTCTTCTGCCTTTGTTTCCCATATCAAGATATAATTTATAAATAAATTCAGATTGATAGTACCTTAGTTTATTTGTTCACTTGTTGAAGGACTTTTTGGCTGTCTCCAGGTTTTGGTGGTGAATAAAGCCCCTGAATATTTCACACCAGTTTTGGTATGGATATGTATTTTTAGTTTTATCTTGGGTAAATACTTAGGAGTAGGATAACTGGGTCATATTGTAAGAGTATATCTTACCTTACAAGAGACTGCAAAATAGTTTTCCCAAAAAAGCTTTACTGTTTTACATTCCCACCTGAAATGTATGAATTTCCAGATGTTCGACACCTTCACCAGCACGTCATAATGTTTTAAAAAAGCCATTCTAATAAGTGTTTGGTAGTATTTTGTCATTTTAATGTGTATTTTCCCAGTAATTATGGTCTTGAATATCTCTTCATGTGCTATTTGACATTTATATCTTTCGTGAAATGTCTGCTCAAAATTTTTTTTTCATTTTTAATTGGGTTGCTTGTCTTAACATTGACATAGAATGTTTCTTCATATTTGCTAGGTTTAAGTCCTTTGTCAGATATATGTATTTTCAGTATTTTCTCCCGTTCCCTGGGGTGCTTTTTGGTTTTCTTAAGGATGTCATTAAAAGATCAGAAGATTTTTTGCTTTTTGTTTTTTTAACTTTTGTTTTTGTTTTTAAAGATTTCATCCATTTATTTGTCAGAGAGAAAGAGCACAAGCAGGGGGAGCAGGCTCCTTGCTGAGCAAGGAGCCAAACGTGGGACTTCCTCCCAAGATCCTGGCATCATGACCTGAGCTGAAGGCAGACGCTTAACCAACTGAGCCACCCACGTATCCCAAAGACCAGAAGTTTTTTGATGAAATCCATTTCATAAAGTTTTTTTCTTAGATGGTATGTACTTTATTGTTTTTTGTTTGTTTCAAGTTTTTATTTAAATTCTAGTTAGGTAACATATAGCGTAATACTGGTTTCAGGAGTAGAATTTAGTGATTCTTCACTTACATATAACACCCAGTGCTAATCACAAGTGCCCTCCTTAATACCCATCACCCATTTAGCCCATCCCTCACCCACCTCCCCTCCGGGAACTCTCAGTTTGTTCTTTGTAGTCAGGAGTCCCTTATAGTTTGCCTCCCTATCTTTTTTTCTTCCTTCCCCTATGTTCATCTGTTTTGTTGCTTAAATTCCACATATGAGTGAAATCATATGGTATTTGTCTTTTCTGAGTGACTTATTTTGCTTACACTCTGGCTTCTTCACATCATTGCAAATGGCAAGATTTCATTCTTTTTGATGGCTCAGTAATACTCCATTGTGTATATTTGCCACATCTTCTTTATCCATCATTTGATGGACATTTGGGCTCTTTTCATAATTTAGCTCTTGTTGATAATGCTGCTCTATAAACATCAGGGTGCATGTAGCCCTTCGAATCAGTATTTTTGTATTCTTTGAGTAAATACCTAGTAGTGCAATTGCTGGATTGTAGGGTAGTTCTATTTTTAACTTTCTGAGGAACTTCCGTACTATTTTCTAGAGTGTCTGCACCAATTTGCATTCCCAACAACAGTGTAAGAGTGTGCCCCTCTCTCCACATCCTTGCAAACACCTGGTATGAGGTGGTATCTCATTGTAGTTTTTATTTCTATTTTCCTGATGGTGAGTCATGTTGAGTGTCTTTTCATGTGTCTGTTGTTCATCTGTATGTCTTCTTTGGAAAAATACCTATCCATGTCGTCTGTCCATTTCTTAACTGGATTATTTGTCTTTTGTGCTTGGGTTTTATAAATTCAAGATTTTGGATATTATGGCATTTATCAGATACGGCATTTGCAAGTATCTTCTCCCATTCTGTAGGTTGCCTTTTAGATACAGCATTTGCAAATATCTTCTCCCATTCCGTAGGTTGCCTTTTAGTTTTGTTGATTGTTTCCTTTGCTGTGTAGAAGCAAAGGAAAGCTTTTTATCTTAATGAGGACCCAGTAGTTAATTTTTGCTTTTTTCCCCCATTTCCAGAGATGTGTCTTGTAAGAAGTTGCTAAGACCAATGTCAAAGAGGTTTCTGCCTGTGTTCTCCTCTAGAATTTTAAATGGTTCCTCGTCTCATGTTTAGGTCTTTCATCCATTTTGAATTTATTTCCACCTATGGTGTTAGAAAGTGTTCCAGTTTCATTCTTCTGCATGTTGCTGTCCAGTTTCCCCACACCATTTGTTGAAAAGTGTGTTTTTCCCAATGGATATTCTTTCCTGCTTTGTTGAAGATTAGTTGACCATGTAGTTGTGGGTCCATGTTTTTAATCTACTGAATATTTTCCTATGCCAAAGTAAAAAAAAAAGTTTATGTTTTCTTCTTACTTTATCATTTCACCTCTTACATTTAGGTCTTTTTTTTTTTTAAGATTTTATTTATTTGACAGAGAGAGACAGTACGAGAGAGGGAACACAAGTGGGAGAGGGAGAAGCAGGCTTCCTGTGGAGCAGGGAGCCCGATGCGGGGCTGGATCCCAGGACCCTGGGATCATGACCTGAGCCGGAGGCAGATGCTTAATGACTGAGCCACCCAGGTGCCCCATTTAGGTCTTTAAATCTATTAATTAATTTAATTAATTTTATTTATAGAATAGTTTTAGACTTATAGAAAAGTTGAGCAGCTTGTACAGAGAGTTCCCATACTACTCCCTCCCCATCATACAGTTTGCCCATCTTGCATTAGTGTGGTTCATTTATTACAATAAATGAACTTATAGTCATATTATTGTTAAGGATAGTTTATATTAAGGTTCTCTCTTTGTGTCCTACAGTTCTAAGAATTTTGAAAAATGGCATGATGTCATGTATCTAACATTATAGTACTATAGAAAATGGTTTCCCCTGTGCATCATCTGTTCATCTCTTCCTTTCCCCTGCCTCCCTGAAGTCCCTAGCAACCAGTGATCCTTTTACTGTCTCTATAGTTTTTCCTTTTCCATGTTTTGTAGTCTGAATTATACAGTATGTAGCCTTTTTAGACTGGCTTCTTTCACTTAGCAGTGTGCTTTTAAGATCCCTCTATGTCTTTTCATGGTTTGATAGCTCATTTCTTTCTTTCTTTTTTTTTTTTTTAAAGATTATTTATTTATTTATTTGACAGAGAGAGAGAGAGGGACAGAGAGAGAGGGACAGCGAGAGAGGGAACACAAGCAGGGGGAGTAGGAGAGGGAGAAGCAGGCTTCCTGCCAAGCAGGGAGCCCGATACGAAGGCAGATGCTTAATGACTGAGCCACCCAGGCGCCCCCAGCTCATTTCTTTTTAACAGAGAATAATAATTCAGTGTCTGGATGTTTACTTACCATTCACCTACTGAAGAACATCTTAGTTGCTTCTAATTTTTGACAATTGATACATTATTAAGTAAACCCATATCTTTATAAATCAAGCTGCTATAAACATCCTTGTGCAGGTTGTTGTGTAGACATAAATTTTCAGTTCTAGTACCAGGAAGCATGACTGCTGAATTGTATGGTAAGAGTATGTTTAGTTTTATAATAACTGCCAAACTATCTTCTACAGTGGCTGTGGTATTTTGCATTTTCACTAGCAATGAATGAGTTTCTGTTGCTCTTTGTCCTTGCTGGCATTTGGTATTATCAATTTTGTTTCTGCCTTTTAAAAATATTTTAGCTATTCTGATAGGTGTGTAGTGCTATTTCATTGTTTTAATTTGCAGTTCTCTTAAGACATATGTTGTACATGTTTTCATCTCCTTTTTTTCTTCGGGTCACTGTTCAGATGTTTTGCTTATTTTTTTTACTAGGTTTCTTGTTTCCTTATTGTTGAGTTTTAAGAGTTCTTTCTATGGGGTTGCCTGGGTGGCTCAATCAGTTAAGCATCTGCCTTTGGCTCAGGTCATGATCCTGGGGTCCTGGGGTCGAGCCCCGCGTCAGGCACCCTGCTCAGCAAGGAGTCTGCTTCTCCGTCTGCCCCTCCCCCCTGCTCATGTTATCTCTTTCTCAATCGTGCTCTCTCTCTCTCTCAAATAAATAAATACAGTCTTTATAAAAAAGAGTTCTTTGTATATTTTGGGTACACATCCTTTATCTGATAGTGTTTTGCAAAATCTTCTCTTAGTCTCTGGCTTGTCTTTTCATTTTGTTTGTACTGTTTTGTACAAAGCAGTGCGACTTATTTTAGTTAAGTTTAACTTATCAGTTATTTCTTTCGTGGATCATGGTTTTGGTGTTGTATGTAAATTGTACTTAAAGGTAATACTTAAGACAAATATGGTATAATCGGGGGAGGGTCAAGGGTCATAAAGGAGGGGTGGTTTCTACACTTGATTTGAACTAGTAAAATGTTGATAGTAGTAGACTGTTGTAAGTAACGTGTGTGTAGCATGTAAAAGAAAGAAATAGAAAACTAAGAGAACAAAGGAAAAATAGAATGGCAGAGGTTAGCTCTAACATATTGACAGTTACATTAGATTTAAATGGTCTAAATGCAGTTAAGTCACTTAAAGACAAGAGACTGTCACTTAAAAGACAAGAGACAATCAGAGTAGAGTAATAGCCAGGACCCAGTTATATGTTAATAAGAAACTCAAATATGATTATATAAGCAGATTGAAGGTAGAGTTGTAGGCAGAGATATGCCATGCAAAACTCAATCAAAGGAAAGCAGTAGTGACTTTGTATTTTTAGATTTAATTTTAAGTAATCTCTACAGCCAACATGGGGCTTGAAGTTACAACCCCAAGATCAAGAGTCACATGCTCTAGCCGACTGATGCAGTCAGGTGCCCCAGTAGTGACTGTTTTATTATCAGATAAAGTAAAAAAAATACACACACACACACACACAAACATTTTGTAATGATAAAATTCACTTATAAGATATGGCAGTCCTGGGGCGCCTGGGTGGTTCACTTGGTTAAGTGTCTGACTCTTGATTTCGACTCAGGTCACCATCTCAAAGTCATGAGATCGAGCCCCACATCAGGCTTTTCCCTCAGTGCAGAGTTAGCTTAAGATCCTCTCACTCTGCCCCTCCCCCCTCCACTCTCCCACTTGCGCATTCTCTCTCATTCTCTCTCTCTCAAAAAAAAAAAAGATACGGCAGTTCTAAAGTGTATGTACCAAACAACAGAATTGTAAGACTCAGCAGTCTTTTCACAATTGGCAGAACAATGAGACAAAACTATCAGTATGTGTATAGAAGAACTCAGCAGTGGGGCGCCTGGGTGGGTCAGTTCGTTAAGCATCTGCCTTTGGGTCAGGTCATGATCCCAAAGTCATAGGATCCTCAGCAGGGAGCCTGCTTCTCCTTCTCCCTCTGCCTGCCGCTCCCCTGTTTGTACTCTCTCTCTGTCAAATAAATAAATAAAATCTTAAAAAGTACTGTAAACCAACAAGATTTAATTGACATTTATAGAACATTTCATACAACTGAAGAATATACATTATTTTTAATTAATAGGGTTTATTTTTTAGAGTTTACAGAAAAATTGAGACAATACAGTTTCTATATATCCTCTCATAACACCCCCAAATAAAACCAGTTTTATTTTACTTTTTTTAAAGATTTTATTTATTTATTTGAGAGAGAGAGAGTGAGAGAGAGAGCACGAGAAGGGGAGGGTCAGAGGGAGAAGCAGACTCCCTGCTGAACAGGGAGCCCGATGTGGGACTCGATCCTGGGACTCCAGGATCATGACCTGAGCTGAAGGCAGTTGCTTAACCAACTGAGCCACCCAGGCACCCAGTTTTCTTTATTATTACTATCTTGCATTCGTATGGTACATTTATTATAATTGAGCCAATACTGATATATTATTTTTTTTTTTTTAAAGATTTTATTCATTTATTTGAGAGAGAGAGAGCACATGAGATGGGGGAGGGTCAGAGGGAGAAGCAGACT